ATATCTTGAAGGGGAGAGACTCCACTCTTATAACGAGTGTATCCTCAACCTGACATGGACAACTCGACCGAGCTCCATCGTCATCATACCACAACGGTAGAACACCCAGATCACAATGGGAAGTTCACGCTGCTGAGCTCGGATCCTCGAAATGAGACCTGAGTTACGGCCCTTGCCCGGTATTCTCCCTGGTCGTTTGTATGATTTCCCTACACCGGCGAATATACAATTCAAACGAGCAAGTCCCTGCTATAAACTCTTAGCAAAATAAAATTTCTCAAGCAGACAAGCATAACAATAAATGCAAACATAAATATCTAAAATAATCGACCATTAAGGTTGCCATCATACGAATTTTACAAAAAGGGAGGCCCCTGGCCCCCATCCAACAAAATAACTTTTTGGCCACAAGGACCACAACAGTTTAAGAATTACGTAAATGAGTAAAATTCCGGGAAAACAAATTACAGCATATCAGCACGCAGGTTGGAAAAAAGAAATAAATAGATAGAAATCAAACATCTGGATAGGGATCCTCCTTGGTAATGAGCTCTTGACACGATGGTTCTCCGAAGGGCACATCTATGACACCTTTGAGACAGCCAGGAATTACGATCTGGCCATCTTCCACGTAATGATGAAGACCCATCCCAGTCACGTTCAGTTCAACTGCGGGGTTCAGAACTCGAAGCTAATTCACAGCATTATCAAAGCTCCCCTCGGAAACGGCCAGAGCATCACCCAAAGCCAGTTGTAAGCGAGCAACCAGATCAGCTCGGATCTTCAAACCTTTGGCCTCTGCCGGTTCATCCTTGGCGAGAGCGGCTTCATCAGTCAAGGTCGCCACCTCCTCGCCGGAAGCCTTCTTCTCGAGAAGAAGCGCCTTGTGATCCTTAGACAATTTCCCCAGCCTGTCCTCTGCTACCTTCTGGGCAGTCTTCTCATCAGCACACTTCTTTTCTGTCTCGGGAAACTTTGATCACATCTTCCTCACCTTGACTTCCAAGGAAGTACCCCCTCTGTATACGCCACGACCATCTCCAAGACCCTCATGACTGCCCCAACATCCTGATCTAATGTTGTCCTCTTTGTCGGTTGATCTAGATCTTCGAGCAGAAGGGACTCACCCCGAAGAAGATACAAAGAAGAACCTTCGAAGAAGGACTTGTCGTGCCAGCAAGGGGGCAACTCGTAATTTCCCTTCTCCTTCTCCCCAGTCAGGTCCACAACATCCTCGTTGCGCTGCCTCTTATGCCTCGAGGACACTTGCAGAGGAGAAATTGCCCCAGCCAGCTGCCCTGTCGACGAAGCACCCGATCCTGACATAGGGTCAACGTCGGGTGAGGAAAACTTGACACCTTTCTATGCCTTCTTCAGGTTGAAAGCGCCCGTCATGGCCAAGCGCTCCTGGGGGGATTCATCTTGTCTGCGAGGAAAAAACAAAGAGCAGTCAATAAAATAGAAGAATATGCGTGAACAAAGAAAATCAAATCATAAAAGCGGCTACCAAGATAGGCCGCGAGATCCTCTCTCTTGAGGAGCTTCTTTACACCTATCTGTACGAGGTTGAACACTACCTTCCCGTCCTTATCGATGATCGATTTTCCTCCTCCGCCCATACGTTGGACAAGAGTAATCCATGCGACAAAAGCAATAAAGCGATCAAAGTTGGTTGCATCCTCGGCACCAAGCTGGTCTTTCTTCCAGACATAAATGCCAGTCCCCCTTTCATTATGCTTATCGGTCCAGTAAAAGGGAAACTTATGCACTAACTTGTTCGCGTGCTTTCCCTCCTCAATAAGAACGAGAACCCCTTCCTCGTTGAACGTGGGAGCAACCCAGAAGACACTCAGCAATGCCCTCTGCAAAATGGGCTGAATGAGCATAAACTTATGCTTGAAAAAACAAACTGACTCCAGGTACGATTTGAACAGCTTTCCATTCGCCTGCTTCAAAGAGACCCAACCATATTGGGCACCAAACGAATGCCTATGAAGGTGGAAACAGTAAAAAACAAAGGGACAGTGGCCCCGATGCCCAAATAATCGCATACAATCTCGAAGGCCCGAAGAAAATCCATCGAGTTCAGATGCAGCTGGGACGGAGCCAGGCGAAGGTGCCTGAAAACCGCCACTTGAAAGTCTGAGAAAGGGAGCCACAATCACATATCTCTGAACATAATATCGTACATAGGGAACCGACGAGCTTCAAATAGAGAGCAGATCCAGTTCCTTTTATTCAGAATGTAGATTGCCAATTGCTCCGCAGTTCCCTCTCGATCCATCTCCGGATCCAACGAGTTTAATATCTCATTAGGATGCTCAATAAAATAGGAGATATACCTCGACGGGCCCAATGCAACCCGATCTAGTGAACCCCTCGTCCACGGGCGTGTTGGGACCCTCTTGATCAACAAGAGCTGCCTCTACGCCCCTTAGCATCCCTGTTACCGGGCACCTCTAGCTCTAGTGCCCCCGACAAGGATTCGTATGCCCCCGAGGTGCTCGCCTCGCCGGACGTGCTCTCGGTAAAATCATGAGCGGAACCGCTGGGCTCGTTAAGAAACTCGTCGTCACTAGTAGTCATCGTACCTGAAAAGCAGAGGATGAAAGTGAGTTCGACGTCAACGTTAAATCCACCCTTCCACCACTAAGCAAGTGAAAGGGCGTCAAAGAACGAGGATCCTGTCCCCGACTAGAGCCCCTACTAAAATGACTATTAAATGATCTCCCTTCCCCGACCAAACTCACCAGATCTACACGAAAATTTTCCTACATTCATCTAACAACACTGAGATCCCAAAGACTCCCCCACAGAGGACACATGGTATCCTTGATGAACTCATTCGCTTGAACCACCGTCTCAACCAACATTAAACTAGAATCCCTAAGAAAGCAGTCGCCTTAAACCCTAACCACATGCATTTTCTAGAAACCTTAAAATCTAACGAAAATGACAAATGCTAAAATGAAGAGGGCCAAGAGAACTTACCAGATTAAGTGGAGAATCAGCAAAAAAGAGACGGCGTCGAACGACATAGCAAGCGAAAATCTCGGGAGTAGATGAAGTCGGGAAGGAACTGATAAAGTCGGGCAAGAACGAAAATGTCGAGCAAATGAGAGGATGATGAAAAATATTCAAGGATCTCTCTCCCCTCTTTTTTTATAGACAGAGCCCACCAGCACGTAGGCAAACAGGCGCCTGGGAAACTCTAAAGGGCGTCATCAACATAACCTAGCCTCTAGACTAGTCATCATCACGCCTATCTGATAGCACGCGGCTCGATGCACGTAAAGCACACAACCTCTCCAGATCCATCTCCCTGATAACCAAACACCGGGCGAATCCCCGAATTCCTCGCATAAATTTCTCTTTGAAGCAAGTCGCTCAACCGTCCCCCTCCCCGCGAGGCAAACGCAACGAACTCCATTTACACCCCTCGAGCAATGCCGACACAAAAGCATTCACGTTTCACGGGCAGGCTCTAAGTCGTCACTCATGTGCTCAGAAGCTACGACTCAGGGGGCTCCTATTCTGGACTGGCCCAATCCGCTTCTACCCTTGGCACGGCCCAACAACAGTGGCCCAACATCCTCGTTGACCACGCCCCTAGACACACAACCAGGGATGCTTGACACGCACGTCTGACCCAGTCAACAGTTGTCTCCCGTCAGTCTGACAAGAGTCGAGAAGACAACAAGGAAACATCCAAGAACGGCCATCTGTCTGTAATCTGTCTCCTCCTCGGATCCAATGGCTAGTTACAGACACACCTGCCCATTTTGACCGAATCCTGACAGTCACCTATTTTTACAGACCCACATATTTAGGCCCAAAAATAGAGATCAATGGCCAAGCGTCGGGGGCCTTATATAAACCCCTTACACCTGTGAGGGCCAGATATCGAATATCTACTATTCATCACTAAAACTCTAACACTTTGTTTGTATCTCTTTTCTCTCTCACACTTACTTGATGGTCGAAGTGCCTTCCAGGTACAACCCCCTCTTTTTTCCTCCACGACTTTCCATCTCGTCCGAAGATCATCTCATCTGGCCACCTTGCAGGTTCTGATCAACCGGTAAGGTCATGTATATTCCATTGCCTTGAGATCTCTTGGAAGACATTTTTTACTGAGAAACTTACCTTTCCATTTTTGTCCTCTGGTACTTTCCAGCACCGTGGCTATGAAAAAAATCTATGAGCATATTCCGACTCCAGAGCCATGAAAGATGACAAAAACCTCACTGGATTGTGGCTTTAAGAGGAGACCAAGATGAAATCAAGACGTTTGGATAAGAGGTTGGAGCTATATGAAGCACAAAGGGTGTGTTTGTTTCAAGTTTACAACACATATTCCTGAGAATATGACTATGGGAATGTAATATTCTCATGTTTGATTCAAGCTTTACAAAATTATTCCAAGAAACTTTTTATTCTAAGGAATATTATTTACACATAGTTTTTTTATTTTTATTCCAAGGCATAAAGGATGGGAATTCAAGATTCCCATGAGAATAAGCTTAAGTACCTATAACTTCTCACTTTTACTCATTATATTTACTTTTATAATTTTTAAATTAAATTAATTTGTAAACATTCCTAGGAATTTTATATTTTGTCCAAACACATTAGGGAGAATATTATTCCTAGAAACAATAATCCCGAAAATATAATTCCAAGAAATATAATTTTATAACTTGAAACAAACACACTCAAACACGCCGAAAAAGATTCCGACATTGACATGGTGACACTAATAAATTTTTTTAGAGGTTTTGGTGTTAGATAGATTTGGAGGAATCAGTGGAAAACAGGAAAAACTGATGTAGTGAATAATGTATATCTTGAGAAATAAAAAACTAAAAGCTGTACAAAAATAATCGATTATTATAAATGTAATGAAAATTACTTGAGGAATATTAAAGGTAGAAGAAAGTTAATTTAATTGTGAAGCCATAATTATAAAATGAATGTGTTAAAACTCAAAACCTAAACAGTTACTGTCTTCTAAGGTTGCACTCTCTCTTAAGAGCCATGAATGTAGCAACAAAGTCATCATAATCTGGTAGCTTTGGATGAACATGTTTTGGTCGTGGAGAAGGACATGAAAATGTCATTGCCTGATTCTCTTTGTAATTCTCCATCCACTTTGAAGGCATAGTCAAAGTCAAGTCTCTTGAATAAGGAGTTGTTGTTAAGCAATCACAAGTCTTTTGATGGAAAACATTGGTAGAAGAAGAGTTTCCAGTGTACTCAAACATTTCTATTTCATTGTAAACAAAACAATAACAAGGGCTTTCCAAGTCGCAGCTGCATTCACTCATGTTAAAGTCCAAACTATTTCTCTCACATGAATCTGAGTAGGAGTGCTGCTTTAGTCTCTTTTTGGGATAACTTGATTGTGGACTTGGTGTTTGATAATACAAAGTGTATCCAATTTCAACTCTACCTTGTTTATCAAGCAAAGGTGATCTTCTTAATCTTTTCTTCGACGATGCACAATTACGCACTGTGTAAGACCTTAAGCTTGATTCAATACTTGATCCATCCTGATCCGTGTCACTTTCGCTAGAATTAAACAAAACTAGCCTTTGTTCCTGTTGGGTGCAAGCATCTTTTGATGAAAAATACTCACATTCATCAATGTCATCAACACTATCTAGCAATATTTTAGGAGACACCAATGTTGAGGTGTCATATGAAGTGGATTCTGGCACAGAAAATTCATCACTTGGTTTGGTGATGGATAAACTAACACTTGTGACATCTGTTTCTACCTCTTGATCAAATTCTGATGGAGAATACATTTTAGTTCCTTCTATTTGGGTGGCATATTCCTTGAAAATTTCATCAACCACTCTATGCTTAGTGTCATCCGGCACAGACTTCACTGAGAGGTTCTCTTTTAACTGTCATCATTTCAAAACTTTAATATATATATATATATATATATATATATATATATATATATATATATATATATATATATATATATATACTAACAAAAGATTATATAATATACCTTTGTGTTAACAAGATTCCCGGGTAAAAGCTCGATAGCTGCGGTGGCAAAATCGTCGCCATAACGATGTGCGAAGAGCTTCTTGATGTGGTAGAGATCAGGAAAATCTCCACACCTTGAAGAAGCGAATATAACACTAGATACAGCTTCATTTATTTCAGTTGGACAGTCCCTTTCATGAAATTACGATTCTTTTATGAGAAAGGGTTGGTGAAACAATTACATATTAATTTATGAAGGTAGATAAGAAATAATACATACTTGTTCTTTCTAATATAGGAGAGTTGTTTAAGGATAAAATCAAAGAAATGATTCAACATTTCATATGCAGCAATTAGGCTTTCATCTTGAATGAGCTTCTCAACCTGAAATTTCTCAACTTTTAGATGCCCAAGCAAAAAATTTTTTGTCAATTTTATATTAATAAACAATGAATAATCATCGAACCAAAGCTAATAAACACTGACATTAACCATATATATACATATACATACTCTTTGGATAGCAATTTTTTCATGGCCATTGAGTATTAAGTCGGCCAAGTCTTTGCGCAATTGCATTGCTATTGATTGCCTCTTGTTCTTCAATTGTATGAGTCTGAATCTTGCTCTTTTTATAGCCTTTTTGCTGAGATTGATATACAAGTTTAGTAAAACGAAAAAATATAAAAATTGAATGTGTATAGCAGATTTACCATTTTGAAGCTTTTGTCCAGCCAAAAAGAATGCCAAACATTTGAATGTATGTGTGAGAGTAATGGAAGTTAGGAGAAAGGATAAGAAGTAGTGAAAGGTGAATGAGGAAGATAAAAGAACAGAATATTAAGTTGACAGTTAAGACATGATGAATCGTGGGTTGATGTTTGAAAATGAAACAGGAAAGAGAATGAAGTAATGGTGTGATGTCATTGTAAAACTGTAACATTCCACTACTATTCAAACGGTTTTGCTCTAACACTTGTCATGTTGCTGCACTACTGGTTGGTTTCCATTCACTATTTTTTTAACCCACTCTAATCTTTTTATCTCCATTAACACTTACTATTCGACTAATAGTTGACAACTGAACAGTTAATTTTTCAATTTCCATTTGAGATTTTAATATAATGTTTTTACATTATACCATATTTTTTACATTTTAATATAATCTTTTTTTTTTACATTTGACTATTTTCTTTTTGAAAAAAAATGATGCATTGGCGATGTAAATTATTTTTACACTATCTTTCAATTCTACTAACTCAAACCGTATATTTTAAATTATTTGTATGATTTAACATTTTAAAATATTTTGATTAGATGTCTGTATAATATTTCCTTACACGAAGAGTGTCCTATCATTAAACTCTATTTTCTTATGCATTCCATGATGTTTGTAAGTTTGTATATTTTAGATCACATTTTTTTATGAGGTTAAAGGTAGTGGTACTGTTAATATAAAATAGTTTTACACTGTCATTTAATAGGAATTCATCATTCAGTCATGTCACACAACTAACTTAAAAATATCAGTGTGACTTGACAGAATATATAATGTTGATTGGTTGAAAGTGTAAAATTATTCTACGCATATCATATTTTCTCTTTTTTTATATATACAAAATGGTAATAACGATTATAAATTCACATACAAAATTGTGAGAGTCAGTGTTCAAATTTTGATATTGATGTCCAATTTATATAGAATTTTATTAATTGAGATAAAATATACTTTGTAAAAAAATCATTTATTATTTTTAAATTTGTGTTAATTTTTTTGGGTACCATAGAGAACCAAAGCCCAAAGGAAAGAAACTACACTAACACTAAGGGGGTATTTCTTTCGTGGATACAAATTGTATTCCCATGAATGTGAGGTTAGGAATCCTATATTCCTATGTTTGTTTCAAGTTTTCATAAATTATTCCCTGGAACTTTTTATTCTAAGGAATATCCACTACGCCAAAAATGATTTTTAACAGCGCACATTAGACAACATTTTTATACAAAAGCGCTGCTATAAGTGAAATTAAAAAAAAAAAACACGGAAACTCTATACAATAATAAATAAAAGCGCTGCTAAAATGGTTGATCAGAACCTGCAAGATGGCCAGATTATGATCTTTAGACGGGCTGGAAAGTCGAGGAGGAAAAATAGGAGTTGTACATGCAAGGCACTTCAACGATCAAGTAAGCGTGGGAACAAAAGAGATATAAGAAAAGTATTAGAGTTTTAGTGATGAATAGTCAATATTTGATACTTGGTCCTCACATGTGTGAGGGTTTATATAATACCCCAGACGCTTGGCCATTGGTCCCTATTTTTGGACCTAGATATGCGGGTTCATAAAAATAGGTATCTGCTAGGACTTGGTCAAACTGTGCAGGTGTGCCCGCAACTAGCTGTTAGTTCCGAGGAGAAGGTAGGTTACAGGAAGTGGTCTGGTCGGTTCCTAGTTGTCTGGCCGACTTGAGGCCGGGCAGACTGAGAGGTACTCATCGACTGTCAGAGGTCAGTGCTGGTCCAGGAGAGCAAGCAACCGATGGTGCCCGACGTAGGGCGAGGGAGTCCGGGCCGAGGTCGCACGGGCCATGTCGAAGGGAGAAGTCAGACTGGGCTCACTCTAGATGTTGGGCCAGTTCAGAATACTTACTAAGTCGTAAATCTCCATCTCTTTCCAGAACTGAGATTTCTTTTTCTCAATCTTAGCTAACCAAGCATAATACGCTTCGGGATCTTTTGCTAAAGGCGTGGCTCAAAATACCCTAAGGATGTTGGTCATGTAATCCAGACTGATAGAGTTGTGGATAGCTGAAGCGTTAGTCGAAGACTTTGCTTGATCCCTTTCAGGCAAAGGTGTGATAGCAGGAATGAGTTTGCCTTTGTCATCATGTTTTTTATTGCTATCTAAGGGCCTAGTGCAATGATAAACAAAAAAAAGTTTTGAAAGAGTTGCAGCATCTGCATTAGGGTCAGACATTGGACCCATAAATGCGTGCGTTTCTCCAGAAATATTTAAAGGTATAAGTACCTGAGATTTGTAAGTTCTAGTTTTCTCTTCAAGAAAACGATGCTCTGAGATGTATTCCTGGTTTCCTATCTGTTTGGGTTTAGGGATTTGAATAATAGGCTGTGAAGCATCTTGTTGTTGTTGTTGTTTGGAATTTTTTGTTGTTTTAGGTGCCACTGTTGAAGTTCTGGAGTTGAAAGCTTGAAGATTTGTTGAAGTTTGAAGAAGAAATGTGAGGGATGTTTACAGTTTCAAGAGGGTTGAAAGTGTAAAAGTGTTGAAATGGTGAAGATGTTGGTATTTATAAGGGAATAACAAACCGTTTCATTTTTCGTTTGAACGATGAAAGTGAAGTTAGTAAGGCACACAAAGCTCTCTGATGGGAAGAGGATGTGATTGCACAAGTACCACCTTACTCCTAGTTTATAGGAGTAATCATCATGAGTAGCTATCCATGTCTGATGAGGCGTTTGGAAAAGTGGTCATTATGACCATGACGTCACGACAATGTTGACAATTAACGTAAAAAATGTCTTTCAAAAAATGTTATTTTCTAAAGATTATCGAAAAAGAACATTTTTGAGGGGAAATTAGTTAGTTGTGATTTCGAAGTTCCAGTAAAAATATGTTCGAGACAAATTCAGAAGACAAGTGTTGGATGATGTGATACGGTGGGAAGAACTGACCGTTTTTTGGAATGCTGGTTTGCGTTTTGCGTTTGTTTTTGCAAAATGTCGCGGTAAGCAAGAGTCGCCACCGACTTTTATTTTATCCAACAAGGAAAGGAAAAAAACACAAAATTCCTTTTTCGAGATGTTTCTGAGTACGGGGGGGGGGGGGGGGGGGGTAGATTATACAAAGGGAAGATATTAGCACCCTTTCTATCTGTAGTTATCTATGGGCTCTTAGGTACTTGCTCATTGTTTTCAAAATTGTTTTCTTTGTGTTTTGTGGGTTTGAAGAAGTTTTTGTTTGAAACTTCGATTTAACTCTTGCTTCTGTCCTCAAGAGTGTAATGAAGTGTTTTGAAAACTTGTTTGTAAAAGTGTAAGTGTGAAAGAGTTTTATTTTGAAAGAGCAAGTATCTAAGAGCTAATCTACCTACTCGAAAAAGGAATCGTTCTATGCTAATTTCCTTTAGACAATGCTATCCCACTATTAATGAGTAGGTAGCATCTTCGTTGGAGTTTGAGGGTCAATTCTAAAGAGGGACATATGGTCACTAAATCAATGTTAGGACACCTTAGCGGTAACCCTAATGTCTTAGATCATTTGTTTGAGGCAACAATATCTGAGGCAACTATTTCGAGGCGACTATGATCTTTTAGACAAGAGGACGACCTCTAAAATGACCTATACTCAATGACCGTTTATAAAGGCAACCAAGTCGGGGTGTACCCTAGAAGTGCGCATGTGCGAGTGTGTTGATTTCAGTTATTTTTATCTTTGCACATATTAAGGGTGATCTAATTTGATTTTAAGATTAAGCATTCATTCTTGTCATGCAAACCCTATTATCAAACATCTAGCAGTTGTATAATTAGCAGAAATTAAAGTGCGGAAATTAAACTAAATTATTACAAGGCGTCGGGTATTTACATCGCCAAAAGCAACCCTTCGAAAATAAAAGAAAGCGGTAAAAAGTAAATGTCCTAATTAATTATTACAAACCGGAAGCAGATACATCAATTGGATAAAGAAAAATAAAGCGCGACGCGAAATTAAATCGGATGCGAATTTAGGGTTTTGACCCTCTTAAAAGAAAATGTTTTTTTGTTGTTTTTTTTTTATTTTTAAGAAAAGAAATTAAGTCCTAAAATTAAATACTAAATTAATTATTAAATTAATTAATGAAAAAATAATTAATGACATATTTTTGGAGTTTTGGTTATTTTTAGGAAAAGGAAATAAAATAATTAAAATTAATGTTAAAACCTATTAATTTCTAATTAATTTTATTTATTTACAAAATCAATTAAAGTTATCTAGAATTAATAACCTAATTAATTAATTAAAATTTATTAAAGAAAAATAAAGTTTTGAATTTCAATTGGACAAAAATATATTTTTGTGACTTTTTTGATAAAAAAGAAATTAATTTGGTTAGTAATTAAAATAAATAAATAAAATAAATAAATGAAATAAACAAAATAAAAGAAAAGTATAGAAAGTGGGCCTGATTTGGGTGTGTAGAAAGCGCTTTCGCTGGCCCAATTGCTGAAGGTCCAATTGACTTTTCTGATTCACTACATGCGCGTTGACCTGGCTCATGGTATGTTTGCAATATTGACCACCAGATCTGGCCATCTGGCATGTTGATTGGTGAGGGAGTATGATGGTCATCAAGCTAGCATGTGCACTGAATTCCTTGAAAATAAATAAGAAAATGACAAGTTGCTGGAGGCAGGGTGTTGTACCCCAAAATTTTCCCTCCCATATTTCTCAGAACATTGCAAGAAAAATCTCCAAGTTGCTCAAAGTAGTCCAAGAGTTCGTCAGACAAGCTCTCTCCTAAGGCAGTCTACCCCAAATTAGGGTTTTGTGTTGCATCAAGATCCTTGAGTACAAGTGAACCCAAGTGCTCACCAATGTCCTAATATATTCTCAAGATCATCCATGCCAAATTTCAAGCCTTGCAGAGGAAGTTTGCTCAGTCAATTGCTCAAAGATCCAAAAATCGATTGTGCTAGGGCAAAAGTCAAGTGTGACCTACATACATTCAAACTTTAAGATTTTTTGTCAAAAT